ACACACAAACTGAACGTGGCGTTAGGAACAGGTGCACATACCTGTGTTTCATTACCATAAAACGGTACGAGTATTTGATGTAAATTGGGAAAATATTTCTGGTTCGAGAAAAAATTATCAAAACGCCATTTTCATGTTAAAGTGTTTAGCCAGGTTTCTCTCTTCGGGGTTTCAAATATAGCGCAGGTTGTAAGATACACCCATCCAAGGACATCCACAATCTAAACACAACTGTTTGTTTATCCTAACAACTTGTAAATCATAGATCATAGTAAACAAGCATGGTATGAAAACATAAACAAGATTATTATTTCTTTGATATAAAAGTCTGATAACGATTTGATTAATTTGTAGACAGCAGCTTTAACACGGTAATATGATTTGATATCTTCATTCCTTAGTTCACTGTAAGAGGGGCACTTTAGAACGGAATTCGTTTTCTACATCATTTTTACAGAAGGAAAGAAGTCTTAAACACTGAGGATTTTTTTCTATAACTTCCAGTTTCCAACAGATGTTACCAGATTGTGTGAAGTCGTATTTCAGTAATTGCCTTTTTGTTTACTTTACAGGTAAATGTTTACTCATGTTATTTTAGACACTTTGTTTTTTTCGTACAATCTTTTAATTTTTTAACATACACAGTTAAATAATAAATTATTCTTGTATATAATATAACTAATATGGATGATAATTTTAAACAGGTTAAACGGGTTAAAGTTAAATTAATTTAACTTTATTATAAAACTAATGTATAGATAATAATAATACCATGTCCTTGAGGGTCAGTCTATCACATTACACACACAATACACATCATAGAATTTTATACCATGTCCTTGAAGGTCAGTTTATCATATTATACAAACGACTGAGTAATAATAGACAGATATCTACAACCATCTAGCCTTACTTATACACATATCTATTGATCACAAAAATAATTGGAGAAATGAAATAATTGTGATTGGATCCACAAGAAGGGCGGACTAGCTATTCATGGTTAGGATACCATATGGTTATATAAGGCTGTTATTTTCCCCAACACAACAAATACATGTTAACGAAGGTGTTTTGAAGTACTGTTAATATTTTAACTGGTCTATTAACAGATAATTCAATTTTTCTATAAATAGAATTAAAGTTTATATGTTAAGGTACATTACTTTCACAGTGTTATGTTCGGTGATAAAGACTATGTTTGAGTCACTCAGGTGTGAAATATGCCATGCAGGGTAGGTGATACGAGTTTCAGATGCAGGCTAAGTGAAAATGAACTAAAACAACAATCATCATGACCCGGGACACACACAAAACAATCACCATGACCCGGGACACACACAAAACAATCACCATGACCCGGGACACACACAAAACAATCATCATGACCCGGGACACACACAAAACAATCACCATGACCCGGGACACACACAAAACAATCATCATGACACGGACACACACAAAAAAATCACCAAGACCCGGGACACACACAAAAAAATCACCATGACCCGGGACACACACAAAACAATCATCATGACCCGGGACACACACAAAAAAATCATCATAACCCGGGACACAGATAAGCTAACCAACCTGTACATCACATTCTCCTCGCCCAGCCCCGACCACTAAACTGTACATAACATTCTTCCAGTCAAACCCCGACCACTAACCTGTACATAACATTCACCCCGTCAAGCCCCGACCACTAACCTGTACATAACATTCTTCCCGCCCAGCCCCGATCACTAAACTGTACATAACATTCTTCCAGTCAAACCCCGACCACTAACCTGTACGTAACATCCTACCCGTCAAGCCCCGACCACTAAACTGTACATAACATTCTCCTCGCCCAGCCCCGACCACTAAACTGTACATAACACTCTCCCCGTCAAACCCCGACCACTAACCTGTACATAACATTCTTCCCGTCAAGCCCCGACCACTAACCTGTACATAACATTCAACCCGTCAAACCCCGACCACTAACCTGTACATAACATTCTCCTCGCCCAGCCCCGACCACTAACCTGTACATAACATTCTCCCCGTCAAGCCCCGACCACTAACCTGTACATAACAATCTCCCCGTCAAACCCCGACCACTAACCTGTACATAACTTTTTTTTCCGTTAAACCCCGACCACTAACCTGTACATAACATTCTTCCCGCCCAGCCCCGACCACTAACCTGTACATAACATTCTTCCAGTCAAACCCCGACCACTAACCTGTACATAACATTCTTCCCGCCCAGCCCCGACCACTAACCTTTACGTAACATTCTTCCCGCCCAGCCCCGACCACTAACCTGTACATAACATTCTCCCCGTCAAACCCCGACCACTAACCTGTACATAACATTCTTCCCGCCCAGCCCCGACCACTAACCTGTACATAACATTCTTCCCGTCAAACTCCGACCACTAACCTGTACATAACATTCTCCCCGTCAAGCCCTGACCACTAACCTGTACATATTATTCTCCTCGCCAAACCCCGACCACTAACCTGTACATAACATTCACCCCGTCAAACCCCGACCACTAACCTGTACCATGGACACACACACTAACCTCTACATAACATTCTCCCCGTCAAACCCCGACCACTAACCTGTACGTAACATTCTCCCCGTACACTAACCTGTACATTCACCCCGTCAAACCCCGACCACACACTAACCTGTACATAACATTCTCCCGTCAAACCCCGACCACTAACCTGTACATAACTTTCTCCGTTAAACCCCACTAACCTTTACACCTGTTAAACCCCGACCATAAACATAACATTCTCCCCGTCAAACCCCGACCACTAACCTCTACATAACATTCTCCCCGTCAAACCCCGACCACACACAAAACTAACCTGTACATAACACCCGGGACACACACAAAACAATCGACCTAACCTTTGTAACCCGCCCAGCCCCGACACACACAAAACACCATAACCATCATGACCCGACACACACTGTACATAACATTCTCCCCGACCCCGACACACACAAAGCCCCAACTCTGTACATGACCCGTTAAACCCCGACCACTAACCTCTACATAACATTCTCCCCGTCAAACCCCGACCACTAACCTGTACATAACATTCTCCCACACACTGTACATAACAATTTCGTTAAACCCCGACCACACACCTGTACATAACTTTCTTTCCGTCAAACCCCGACACACCTGTAAAACTACACTAAACTGTACATAACATTCTTCCCGCCAAGCACCGACCACTAACCTGTACATAACATTCTCCCCGTCAAACCCCGACCACTAGCCTGTACATAACATTCTTCCCGTCAAACCCCGACCACTAACCAGCCCCGACCACTAACCTGTACATAACATTCTTCCAGTCAAACCCCGACCACTAACCTGTACATAACATTCACCCCGTCAAACCCCGACCACTAACCTGTACGTAACATCCAACCCGTCAAGGCCCGACCACTAACCTGTACATAACTTTCTTTCCGTTAAACCCCGACCACTAACCTCTACATAACATTCTCCCCGTCAAACCCCGACCACTAACCTGTACGTAACATTCTCCCCGTCAAACCCCGACCACTAACCTGTACATAACATTCTTCCCGCACAGCCCCGACCACTAACGTGTACATAACATTCTTCCCGTCAAACTCCGACCACTAACCTGTACATAACATTCTCCCCGTCAAACCCCGACCACTAACCTGTACATAACTTTCTTGCCGTTAAACCCCGACCACTAACCTGTACATAACATTCTTCCCGCCCAGCCCCGACCACTAACCTTTACGTAACATTCTTCCTGTTAAACCCCGACCACTAACCTGTACATAACATTCTCCCCGTCAAACCCCGACCACTAACCTCTACATAACATTCTCCCCGTCAAGCCCCGACCACTAACCTGTACATAACATTCTTCCCGTCAAACCCCGACCACTAACCTGTACATAACATTCTCCCCGTCAAGCCCCGACCACTAACCTGTACATAACATTCTCCCCGTCAAACCCCGACCACTAACCTTTACGTAACATTCTTCCCGCCCAGCCCCGACCACTAAACTGTACATAACATTCTTCCCGCCCAGCACCGACCACTAACCTGTACATATTATTCTCCTCGCCAAACCCCGACCACTAACCTGTACATAACATTCTCCCCGTCAAACCCCGACCACTAACCTGTACGTAACATCCTACCCGTCAAGCCCCGACCACTAACCTGTACATAACTTTCTTTCCGTTAAACCCCGACCACTAACCTCTACATAACATTCTCCCCGTCAAACCCCGACCACTAACCTGTACATAACATTCTCCCCGTCAAACCCCGACCACTAACCTGTACATACCAATCTCCCCGTCAAACCCCGATCACTAACCTGTACATAACTTTCTTTCCGTTAAACCCCGACCACTAACCTGCACATAACTTTCTTTCCGTCAAACCCCGACCACTAACCTGTACATAACATTCTTCCCGCCCAGCCCCGACCACTAAACTGTACATAACATTCTTCCCGCCCAGCACCGACCACTAACCTGTACATAACATTCTCCCCGTCAAACCCCGACCACTAACCTGTACATAACATCCTACCCGTCCAGCCCCGACCACTAACCTGTACATAACATTCTCCCCGTCAAGCCCCGACCACTAACCTGTACATAACATTCTCCCCGTCAAACCCCGACCACTAACCTGTACATAACATTCTCCCCGTCAAACCCCGACCACTAACCTGTACATAACATTCTTCCCGTCAAACCCCGACCACTAACATGTACTTACCCGCCCAACTCCGTTTACTAATCTATATGAGACATTCTCCCCAGTTAGCCCTACCTACGAGCTACCTGCAAGGACACCTATTCCTGTCAATCCTCAGCCAATAACATGACATTCTCGTACTGGAATTTTTCCCGGTTGACCCGATCACTAACCGGCCGAGCCCCGTCTTTCCCTGTCTAGTTTTTTTTTATCACTAACCTGTACGTAAAGCTCTCTCCAGGGTTGATAGGACAATGGGACACGGTTCCTACCCCATCCATCCACGGTGTCAGCCACTGTACCATGCCATGCCAGTGTATCGTAATACCTTCGTACAAAAGGTTGTTCTGTATCTTTACAACCACCTGAAACAGCAAGCATTCGTTTACAGCCAATCAGGATTTCATTAAAATCAAGTTTTGCCAGCGATTGATGGGAATTTATCAGTTTTATGAAAACTTTATTCACCTCTATTGTTGATATAATCTTTTGTAGTTTTGACCAATCAAAGCGGCGCTTTCTAGTTACTGCATTGAACTTGGCCGATTTTCCTGTTAGAACACAAATTGTTCTATCAACTCTTTCCCCAGTGCATTTCGGGTTTTCTCTTGTTTGGTATATAAAACAGTTTTGTAATTTTTTTCCAAGACTACAGCAAAAAGGGATATGATTCCACGTAATGCAGCATATTTAAAATTGATTCGTCTTGTTGTCAAGCGAAACTATCTGTCGTCAAAGAACACATATTTATTTCCCTTACCTTTTTGAAAGCTAGACTTTTCTTTTTGAAATAGTAATAAAAGAAAATGTAACGATTTCGTTAAATATTTTTATATTTCATTAAATCAGAAAATATATTGTTTTGATTAACACAACAAAAGCAGCCTTTCCCTATTGCCAGCAAAACCGTCTGAAATAAATTTCATGTGCCTCTCTGTTTCCAAAAGGCAAATCCATCCTTTAAATGCGATTGAATGCAACTGGACATCGCTCATTGTTGAGAGTTACGCCACAGGGGTCACACAAAGTCCGAGACTTAGCTGTATCATTACCTGTTGTCCCTCGTAAACGACAATGGACGGTCCGGGCACTTGGCCGTTTATGGCATACACGAGTTTGTAGTTACCGTCAGCCAAGATAGTAGTGTCCATTTCTGTAAAAAGTGAAGACTGCTTACAGCGTTTGCTTCAATACATATTGTACATACTTAGAGAAAGAAATATGAAAACGAGAATACAGGAAACTAGTTGATTTTCTCTTGGCGCTGGGCGTGTTGTCATCACCCTTACACAATTATATATGATTACACCAAAGGAACCATTGTTCCACTAGTGTTCTACAAATCTGTAAAGTTTCATTTTCTCGTTTTCCGATTCCTGGTCAGAGAAAACCGCCACGTGAAACAATTCCTAGCAAACATTGATACTTGGTATTTGTTAATGTATATTAGTAAGTCCGTTTAATTCTCAGGACGTGAAAGACGACTTACAATTTAGAATTAATACCATGACGTTACAGATATGACGTCACAATGATCATACTTCTTAACCGAATGTCTTTGAATGATCGCTACTCTCTAATGCTTATCATTTTCTCTACCTTCTCTTGTCAGTTGTTGGTAATTATCACACCCAGTTCGTTTGTAAAGAGATCCGTTTCTGCTGACAACTGGGTTACCATTCCCTCCTTCGTCGTATACAACCATTGTCTCCAAATAGTCAATGGTCCAATCAAATTCACAAACCTCCACATCAGGTCCACATTTCGGCAAAACCTCCTGATCAAAAGCGATGGAGGACCAGGTCGAAATACCCAACAATAAAATAAATCGGATGAAGAACTTCATTTTGAACTTGAGAGAGAACGGATGCCGCTGGTCCTATATATACTGATGAGACGCGGTGTCGTGGTTCAGATATCACATAGCAAACAACATATCCTTAGATAAATGTCATGATACGGGACTCCCGTGTCACTCACTGACGCTTGTAGATATTTCTTAAAATAGAAAACAAAACAATCACTACCTGCTACATTATCGACTAGTGCACGTTTTGTTTCAGTACAACCCACCTATGTACTTATCTATTTATCTATTTTACGGGTTTTACGTCCACTTTTACGGCCTTTCAGCAGACGAGAAAAGATTGGAAAATGAGAAGAAGGGAGAATATGAAGTGATGGGAAAGAGTGGGATACTGAGACGTGGTAGAAAGGGCCCGTTTGTGCTATTTGACTTGTTCTTAGGCTATAACTTTGAAGACGAGGCCCTGACCTAATTGTAGACCTGGCCTACACCAAGCATATCACAGGACCGGTTAAGGACAGAGAGGAATAGAAAGGGAGCCATGATAGATTCCGATTTATTGATAGTATTTTGGAAGTCCGTCAAAATTACTTATTACATAATAAATAAACCTTTTTGCTTATCTAACCTTAACCCCTGGGCCGAAAAGCTACAGAAGGATCTTTATGGAGCGAGTTGGACTTTCTCACACGGACCCCCATTTTAAGTCCCATCCGACGGACTGTGGGTTAGTGGTTAGTTGTTAGTAAGGTGATGGTGGTGGTCTGTTTTAGTATCCGTATAAGTATAAATCGTCTTTCCATTTCTATCTGCCTCTGTATATACTGTTCGGTTTATCAATGTCTATAATTTCTGTAGATCCTCACTGTCCCCTGTTCCATGTAGCTGTTCACTTTCTGTAGATCCTCACTGTTCCGTGCTCCATGTAGCTGTTCACTTTCTGTAGATCCTCACTGTTCCGTGCTCCATGTAGCTGTTCACTTTCTGTAGATCCTCACTGTTGCGTGCTCCATGTAGCTGTTCACTTTCTGTAGACCCTCACTGTTGCGTGCTCCATGTAGCTGTTCACTCTCTGTAGATCCTCACTGTTCCGTGCTCCATGTAGCTGTTCACTCTCTGTAGATCCTCACTGTTCCGTGCTCCATGTAGCTGTTCACTCTCTGTAGATCCTCACTGTTGCGTGCTTCATGTAGCTGTTCACTCTCTGTAGATCCTCACTGTTCCGTGCTCCATGTAGCTGTTCACTCTCTGTAGATCCTCACTGTTCCGTGCTCCATGTAGCTGTTCACTCTCTGTAGATCCTCACTGTTGCGTGCTTCATGTAGCTGTTCACTCTCTGTAGATCCTCACTGTTCCGTGCTCCATGTAGCTGTTCACTCTCTGTAGATCCTCACTGTTGCGTGCTCCATGTAGCTGTTCACTTTCTGTAGATCCTCACTGTTCCGTGCTCCATGTAGCTGTTCACTCTCTGTAGATCCTCACTGTTCCGTGCTCCATGTAGCTGTTCACTCTCTGTAGATCCTCACTGTTCCGTGCTCCATGTAGCTGTTCACTCTCTGTAGATCCTCACTGTTCCGTGCTCCATGTAGCTGTTCACTCTCTGTAGATCCTCACTGTTCCGTGCTCCATGTAGCTGTTCACTCTCTGTAGATCCTCACTGTTGCGTGCTTCATGTAGCTGTTCACTCTCTGTAGATCCTCACTGTTCCGTGCTCCATGCAGCTGTTCACTTTCTGTAGACCCTCACTGTTCCGTGCTCCATGTAGCTGTTCACTCTCTGTAGATCCTCACTGTTCCGTGCTCCTTGTAGCTGTTCACTCTCTGTAGATCCTCACTGTTGCGTGCTCCATGTAGCTGTTCACTCTCTGTAGATCCTCACTGTTGCGTGCTTCATGTAGCTGTTCACTCTCTGTAGATCCTCACTGTTCCGTGCTCCATGTAGCTGTTCACTTTCTGTAGATCCTCACTGTTCCGTGCTCCATGTAGCTGTTCACTCTCTGTAGATCCTCACTGTTCCGTGCTCCATGTAGCTGTTCACTCTCTGTAGATCCTCACTGTTGCGTGCTTCATGTAGCTGTTCACTTTCTGTAGATCCTCACTGTTCCGTGCTCCATGTAGCTGTTCACTCTCTGTAGATCCTCACTGTTCCGTGCTCCATGTAGCTGTTCACTCTCTGTAGATCCTCACTGTTCCGTGCTCCATGTAGTTGTCCACTTTAACGTTTACATGATTTTATTTCGTGATTGTGATGTTGTATCAGCAGATGTTGGAGGTGTTAGTGGGTGTTTACTAAGTGGTAAATAAGTAGACTTGTACAAGGTATGTTATTTGCCAAGTGAGCGTTATTTTTAAATTTGGTACGTTAAAGGGTAAGAGTGTTCATGCCGGAAGACCTCTGGGAAGGTAGGAAAGATGGGCCCGTAGGTATTTAGGGGATGGGGGTGGGGGGATGGGGGGGAGTAGGAATGGGTAGGGCTCCTTCTAATTTTCGGGAGCGAAGGAGAGGTGGCAGGGCGTGTTTACGCTACTGTTGTAAGTCATATTTTAGCCTTGGTAGGGAGTCTTCTTGTACTCTTTTCACTATAAGTGTGTGTTTGTTGTGTATGTGTTTTATGTGACGTTATATATCTTCACTAGTGCACCGGACGAGGTGGTGATTCTGTAACTAGACACACAGAACTATATTTGGACGTGTGTTGATTGTACGGTTCCTGGTAAAAAGACCCTACTGTAACCCAAAGTTCCCCATGTTTAGGGTTTGGTAGTCTCTGTCTAGTGCCGCAGTGGTGTTGCTATACAAACTATCTAGGTGGCCGTGGAGTAAAGTTTCTGATTAGGATAATCAGCGATGGAGCTCTTCTGTATTACTTACATCGCCCTAGGTATGAGCCCGGGTCAACAATATGTTACCCTTGTTCATGTGATGTGGTGATCGTATATGACCCACCTGTGTAGGTAGGGACTAGTTAGCGTTCTGTATCAGTACAACCCACCTGTGTAAGTAGTTAACGTTCTATCAGTACAACCCACCTGTGTAGGTAGTTAACGTTCTGTATCAGTACAACCCACCTGCGTAGGTAGTTAACGTTCTGTATCAGTACAACCCACCTGCGTAGGTAGTTAACGTTCTGTATCAGTACAACCCACCTGTGTAGGTAGTGAACGTTCTGTATCAGTACAACCCACCTGTGTAGGTAGTTAACGTTCTGTATCAGTACAACCCACCTGTGTAGGAAGTTAACGTTCTGTATCAGTACAACCCACCTGTGTAGGTAGTTAACGTTCTGTATCAGTACAACCCACCTGTGTAAGTAGGGACTAGTTAACGTTCTGTATCAGTACAACCCACCTGTGTAGGTAGTTAACGTTCTGTATCAGTACAACCCACCTGTGTAGGTAGTTAACGTTCTGTATCAGTACAACCCACCTGTGTAGGTAGTTAACGTTCTGTATCAGTACAACCCACCTGTGTAGGTAGTTAACGTTCTGTATCAGTACAACCCACCTGTGTAGGTAGGGACTAGTTAATGTTGTGTAGGACTATTTACCACCTCTACCTACCTATACTTATTGAGTTTAATTTTCTGGGGTCGAGATATCTTTTTTTAGTTTCTCTCATTAGTTTGATATCATTAGTCTTTTCAAATAAGAAAAAAAAAACTTTTTGCTGTGTACGTGTTCACCTGGATGCGTACGTGACAAACTAATATATCAATTAGTCATTATCAAACGTTTATAAATCAGGTGTTTGGTGTGTGATATATCAGGGCTTATCTCTACAGTGACAGGCGACAGAAATAAACAGTGCATCACTTCCCTAATGTGAAAGGAGTTATATCGCGACTCACTATCCACACTCCTAAATAATGAATGACACATCCGAATAACTGACGAGAGTTACCTCATCGTTTACATGTCGAACGACCCTGAACGTGTGACGAAAGTTATCTCCCGTCCACTATCCGTATACTAAAAATAGTTCACATCACGTCCCGAATTTTTGACAAGAATTATCTCTACACCTATTGCCCACAGACCTAAATTATGTATAAATCATCACCTCCCTAATCTAAGGTGAGATTTATCTACTTATTCAACAATCACAGAACTAAACATTGTTCACGTCATTTTTCTAAATGTTAGACGAGCATTATTCCCCATTCACCATCCGAAGACCTTTACAATATTCACACCACGCCCTGAATGTGTGATGAGATTTGTCTCTTCCTTCACCACCCATAGACCTTCACAATATTCTCACCACGCCCGAATGTGTGGTGAGATTTGTCTCTCCCTTCACCACCCATAGACCTTTACAATATTCACACCACGCCCGAATGTGTGGTGAGATTTGTCTCTCCCTTCACCACCCATAGACCTAAATAATGTAGTACACACCACGTCCCGAATGTGTGATGAGATTTGTCTCTCCCTTCACCACCCATAGACCTAAATAATGTAGTACACACCACGTCCCGAATGTGTGGTGAGATTTGTCTCTCCCTTCACCATCCAAAGACCATCACAATATTCTCACCACGTCCCGAATGTGTGGTGAGATTTGTCTCTCCCTTCACCATCCAAAGACCATCACAATATTCACACCACGTCCCGAATGTGTGATGAGATTTGTCTCTCCCTTCACCACCCATAGACCTAAATAATGTTGTACACACCCCGTCCCGAATGTGTGATGAGATTTGTCTCTTCCTTCACCACCCATAGACCTTCACAATATTCACACCACGTCCCGAATGTGTGATGAGATTTGTCTCTCCCTTCACCACCCATAGACCTAAATAATGTTGTACACACCCCGTCCCGAATGTGTGGTGAGATTTGTCTCTCCCTTCACCATCCAAAGACCATCACAATATTCACACCACGTCCCGAATGTGTGATGAGATTTGTCTCTCCCTTCACCACCCATAGACCTAAATAATGTTGTACACACCCCGTCCCGAATGTGTGATGAGATTTGTCTCTTCCTTCACCACCCATAGACCTTCACAATATTCACACCACGTCCCGAATGTGTGG